CAATGCTACATTTCTACAAACCTGATGAAGAAACAAACTCATCCTAATCTCGGATGAGCACATTTTCAGCAAATCTCCATTTTTCGATGAATTTAAAACTACACATTGAATATCCATATGGATGGAGGGGCCTTTAATTACTGAACACACTGGATCTGTTTACACTTGTACTGAGTGTAGATGATAACAGCAGCTGTAAACTGGGCCAGCGATGCTGTGATTATCAGTGAAGATCTCCAGAAGTGTGTGATTCCCCCACAGAGAGGGTTTGAGATCTGGGACGTACCATGATGAGAGAGGGGAGGGAGCTGGAGCTGGACAGACGTCTGGGTGTGGGCCACTGTTACGCACAATACACAATATCACACATCAACCTCACGCTTGCTTACTGCCTCCATACAGAGACCAACACGCAACATTACACAAACGCTCCTTAAAATGAAAACACCAAACGACCTCAGATGACCTAATCATCTAGTCACGCAGATTCACAGTGACGAACAGGAAAATAACCATCTTAATGTTGCATAATTCATCAATTATGAAACTAATTCACTTTCAGCTGCTCTACAGAAATCAACAGCATCATTACATAGATCGATTCAGATTCAATGCGGTTTAAATTCAGTTCAATAACAGTGTTGATGATGCAGAATCGGTCCGTTATGAAACAAATGCGATTCAACTATAAAGCAGCTCTATAGAAGAGTGTCAACATTCAGCTCAAATTGTGTTCTCATCCAATAGTGTGCATTAAATTGATGATATTACTATTCCTGAGATAAATTAATTAATGCTAATGAGAACACTTCAGTGCAGTCAAAGTGAGAATAAAGCAGATAAATGTGAGCGAGGCTCAGTTCGGATGGGAATACTAGCACACGCACCAACACAAACCATCAGAAAAGATGGAAAATCTCACCAGATCATTTCCAGTCATAAGCCTCATTTACATGGGAAAAATGTTCTAGACAATACTATGTTACATTAGTTGCATGGTTCATTTTGTGACCTCCAATTTGAATCTCAAACAGTAAAAATAGTATTCCATTCCGAACATAGCCCTACATTGGCCCAGACATTTCCCAGAATGCTTTGCTGCGGTGTGCAGGCTCACCTTGGTACTACGACGCATAGGAGGCTGAGGGAGGAGCACAAAACACACGCAGGAGAATACAGAGAGAGAAGAGGGAACAGTTGAAGGGATTGCACAGAGAAAACGAGCAGGAAAGAGATTTTAACAGAGAAAGAGAAACACTGCATGAACGGATGGAGGAACACTGAGGATCTGCAGCAAATTAATGCCTTCCCTAAAACAGCATCAGGAAATGAATATGATACCACAACCACAAAAGATTGGAAACTCATTTCTGCCATGAGATTAAAAAAAAAAAATTGACAATTCAGTTTCTTACAAATCTGACTTTTTTTTCTCACAGCATGAGATATAAACGGAGAATTGCAAGATCTAAACAGAGTTGCAAGATATAAACTCGCAATTGTTGGGAAAAATAAATCAGAACTGTGGTATAAAAAGTCGCAATTACCTTTTTTTTTATTCTGTGGCAGAAACGGGTTTTGATAAAAAGGTCACTGATATGAACTTCAACATGAGGAACTTTGGCTGATGCCGGGAGATATTTTGATTATTCACTATACACTGTATGTGCAATGATTTTCTATTCTCTATTCTTTTTCTATTCTGTGTATTGCTTTCTTTTTATTAAAAAAAAAGATCCTCTAACACTAACGTTTTCCATTCTTTTTTCTATTCTTTCTACTTTTCTTTCTTTATAAAAAAAAGAGAGACCCTCTAACATTAACATTCTCTACTCTTTTTCTAAGCTATCTACTTGTTTTATTTTTATTTATTATTAAAAAACTGAGACTTGTTATAGCACTTGCATATCATTACTCTTTTGTTGATTTTGGTTGCTTCCTTTGTCCTCATTTGTAAGTCGCTTTGGATAAAGGCATCTGCTAAATAACTAAATGTACATGTAAATCTAAAAGTAAAACCTTCATATGTTGTAATCCTGATTATGTTGACCCAATTTTAAAGTTTGGAGCAACTAGATTATCATTAGATGAACCTTGATTTGATCTTTTAATCTAAACACCCAATCCTTATCGGTGCATCACAGCCTAAGTGTGTTTTGCACATGCTGAACTCATCTGAAGAATGCTGTTCTTCTCTGACACCTCAGACATGTGAGATTCAAAATATCTGAATAGTGAAGATCTATCATCAATCAATCAGCATCGTTTATGACTGTGGTGACACGGAAAGATGATATGCGATCCACGTGAGATCATGCAAGCATTTGGTGCGTGGGTGTATCAGTCAGATGCTGGGATGGAAACTGCAATTTTACACCACAGAAGTGAAAACCACCAAAACAAACAACAGACAAAAACTGGTGAAATAAAGAGTGAATGTACACATAATGTGCAATGCTGTGTTCGGACACATGAACTGAACCCACAGAGTATTGATATACCTTCCTTGTTGTTGGAGTCTTTTCATCATGTTAGCAAAAACAGCCAAACACACACATAAAAACCGTCAGTTCCATCTTAAATATCTCAGGGGTTAAAGCAAAAAAAAAATCCTGAGCCTGAACTTTTTTCCGGGGGTTTGGGGGTAGCACATGCAAAGCATGCAATGACTGTGGCAACTTTAACATTTGAAAGGATGCTATGACAAAGTTATCACTTTCCTTATTCAAACTGATTTTTATTTTTTTTCATGAATACATGATTGACCTGAAGAATGAAAGCTTGGAGTCTTTTCATCATGTTAGCAAAAACAGCCAAACACACACATAAAAACCGTCAGTTCCATCTTAAATATCTCAGGGGTTAAAGCAAAAAAAAAATCCTGAGCCTGAACTTTTTTCCGGGGGTTTGGGGGTAGCACATGCAAAGCATGCAATGACTGTGGCAACTTTAACATTTGAAAGGATACTTTGGCAAAGTTATTGCTTTCCTTATTCAAACTGTTTTTTTTTTTCATGAATATATGGTTGACCTGAAGAATGAAAGCTATATCATACACTTGGAAAATCATGAGCTATATCACCGCTTATCGACACTAGGGGTGTGATAATACACTTAGCTCATGAGATGAGACAAAATACAGATACTTGGTTCACTAGAACTTGACAATATTTTAATACAAATAAATTAATAATTTCTTTAATACTAATACTTCTTTAATTCTAAGAAGATATTTTTAAGACATTTTCAATGACAAAATATTTGTCTTTTAGTTACAAAAAGTAAAACAATGCAGTTGTATTTTGAAATATTTTAACACATCTAGGGCTGCAACTAATGATTATTTTGGTAATCAAGTAATCTGATTATTTTGACAATTGAGTAATCTGATATTTTTTAGTAACACAAACAGGCCTAAGTGAAAACCAGGCTTTAGTATGACTATTTATATATAAACTAACGATGAGGCAATAATAATTGGCTCAAATAACATATCAAAACCAAGTAATTACATGGTTTTATTGAACAACACTGTTAAAATACATAACGTAATATGCCTATTAGGGCTGTCAAAATGACTGAAAAACTAAATTAAAATTTTCTACTTAAATATTATCAAAATTCGAATTATATTCGATTTTAAAAGGCATAATTTCAGTTAGGGGGAAAAAAGCTTTTGGCTTCTCTCCTGAGGCCGGAACAGACCCTGAGGAAATATTACATAATTGTGACCAGAATGAGGCCTTACCAGCTGGAGTGTTGGCTGGGACTTTCTCTAATTCTTGCACAATGTTTATATCCAGCAACTCAAAGGACAACAGATCCTGGAAAACAACAAGACTTTGGACATTAGTTGTTAAGCACACTAGGGCTGTCAAAATAACTGAAAAACTAAATTCGAATTTAAAAGGCATAATTTCAGTTAGGGGGAAAAAAGCTTTTGGCTTCTCTCCTGAGGCCACATCGAGCAAAATATTATGCACGTTTCTTCAAAGCGTAATAAAATAATACGACTCTTTGAAAAAAAGTGCATAATGTTTAAAAATAATGTTTATAAACCATATATAATTAATAAAGTTGCTTAAACAGTTAGAAAAAAAAAACAGCACCATGCATGAATGTATAGTTTAATACAAAGGACCGAAAACCAATCACAAAGAGTAGGCTACTTTCTTCATTTAAAAACATGAGATACAGTGGGATGGGGAAAAACCACCATAACGTCTTTAGACGTAACGACATGTTTTTTAAAAGTTGAACTTGCATTAATTTTACATGGCTTTCTAAACATGCCGCTCTCTGCGAGATGCGAGTGCAACGCTGATAGATGTCCCTCTAGAAAATGTGATAAACATGCGTTCTGTGTGAACGGCTTGGTTTCAGTTTCGACATAAACAACATCTTCTCCACACTGATGCTCTCGTTTTCCGCAATATAT